AATGGTGACATCTGATATAGAAAAATACACACATATCATTGATAAACCGAATTTATAAAATTATAAATAAAATAAAAAAATTCATCACATTGCTCAGAATTTAAAAATTCAAAAACTACTGAAAATAATATATGTGTTATTTTCATTGCTACAATAGTTCAAAATAATTTTCCTAAGTATACGCATACGMATTACGCTGTCATAAAAAAAGTTATTCCAGAAAAACTCAAAAGTAATGGATTTTGAAACAATAAAAACTTTTTTCGTAAAAGTGATACCTATTTAAACAATAAAAAAGATATTTTACAGATAATGTTCTCAATTTTCGCATCTATACATGTATTGTACATACATAAATTTGGAGTCTTAACTATCACTATACCCTGAGTGGTTCTATCCCGCGTAAAATAATTTTTGCTACGTTGTATATTTTTWAGACGAAGACAATACATGCAGGGTGTAGCATCCTCTTAAACTCCTGATTCACTATTTTTAAAGAAAAAAATCAATAACTTAAAAATAATTTGACTTACTTGATTCATCAGCTCCACCTTTAACACAAATACCAAATCCTTGATTGGACGGGCTTCCTGACGTCGCATTTGGCCTTGACATCGATATCGTACGTACTGTAAGATTATCATTATGTATTGTAGATGATGTATTGTTGTGTGGTTGCGAGGCGTTTGAACCATGAGGTGGAGGTGATTGTGGTTTAGCGCTAGACACGTGATACGAAGAAGATGCGTTGTAATTTGGTGCTGCAAACATTTTAAGAACTTGTTCTGGAGAAATAGGCCTCTTTTTTCCAGAACTTCCACGCGAACCGGCATTATTAGAACGATTACTATTGCTACCAGTGCCTGTGTGAAAAACAAATGCGTGGTGTACATTTTCAGGACAGAACAATTAGGTAACAACACTTAACAATTACAATATTAACTATATGTAAAAAAGCAATATATCATATACTATATTATTTTTGAGTTAACTCCAATGTAGAATTTAAATAAATATAATATATACAAACCAATTTAGTAATCAATAATGTTTAATTTTTAAATACTAGATTAATTTAAACTTTGTTTTTAAACTTGAAATGTATAATTTTAACCTATTGGACACATGGTTAATTGAATCATTCGTCTATTGGACTCAAATAGACTGATTTTGATTTGCAAATATACTAATACATAAGAAACAATTCATCGTTTGGACTCACTAMATTGGTTAATAGCGTAAATAACTATTGTTAAGAACATATTTGTACAGTTTTTGGTCAATTTTCTTCAATTTTATTTCATACATTTTGACGTTTAATACTAGGCAATTAAGTTATACTTTCTTCGAATCATCACATTGAAAAGTATTTAAGTTTTCGAAAATATAATTTTTCCTACCTACTTAATTAGAAGTCATTACGAAAACGAAACAATGCATTTTTGAAAAGTAAAAATATATTATTATCATTAAGTATTAATTTTAATGTTCYTTTTTTTACTTTATTAATGACAACATATATAATTGAAAAACCTAAATAAATAAATATATACCTAATAATGAATATTTATTAGTAATTTTTTTATTACAATGTTTATTATTTTATTTTTGGACTTTTGCCTTGTTGGCTCATTCCGTTAATGAACTTAAATATTTTGCATATTCAAAAGCGAGTTAAATAGCAGCGGTTACTAAATTTCAAATAATATGCGTTTATCTGCGTATGTCAACTTAGTAAATCAACAAATATTACCAATAAATTACTTCTATTTAAGTATATGTAACCATTGTCTAAGTCCTAAGATAATTAAAATTATTGATTATTGATCATTATTACTGGTTATTTTATTTATATAAATTTTTTTTGCTATCATTACAGTACACAAACTAAACAGTCATTCTCCATG